TGAGCCAAAGGCAACTGGTCAAAGGTCTCAGGATTGCTGACCTACTGACTTCCCTGCCTTCCTTCTTCCCTTCTTTCCTCCCTCCTCCCCCCCCACCTTTTTTTGTCTCCTGCTTTCTGTCTTCTTAGCATGTTACAGCGTACTTGCAGAATCCCTGTAAAGGGGTTTATTGTAACCTTTTATAATAGATCATAAGTATTTTTAATGTCAATATATTTACCTCTACAGCATCACTTTAAACAGCTACTTAACTATGTGGACTATGCTATAATTTATTTAACTGATTTCCTAATGGGGGAAATTCTGGTTCTTTTCCAGCTTTTTTTTTTTTTTTGCTGTTATAAATCATACAGGTCAGTGGCCTGTTGAAATCTACTACTCAGCTATTTCCTGCTTGTCCATTCACCTATTTATCTCTTCAAGGAATTCTTGGTATGGTATGAAATGGTCTGGTCTGACATTCCCTTTTAGAACTACATTACCCAGCAAGGCATTTAAATAAATTTACAAACTTTGCTATAATAGGGTAAGGATAGTGCCTAAAACCTTGGATTCTGAACTCAGCATACCTGGATTTGAATCCCAGCATTGCCAGTTGCTACCTGTGTGACTTTGGGCAAGATATTTAACCTTTTTGTATTTTGGTTCCTTCCCCTATGATACAGCGATGATTATACCATCTCATAGTGTTGTGAGGATTTAGGAAATTATGTATCCAAGGGACACAGAAGAGTAGCATCTAGTGCACAGTCAATACTAACTCTTGGTATTAGTGCCCTTTTTTTTAAAAAAAGATTTATGTACTTATGCATACAAGAACTGGGTATAGGCCAGAGGTGTGCAGGATGAGAGGATTCACCAGAGACAGAGTGGGGAACAAAACAGATAGATTGACTGAAATACACTGCTAGGGGAGCAGTGGGCGAGTCAGGAGAGGTCTGCTGCACCATGTGGGTAGCTCCCTGGCCAGGGCTCGAACTTGTGTTGCAGTGGCTACAGATAGCTTCCTTCATAGGTTGCGTCTTAACCCTTTGCGCCACCAGGGAGGCCCAATAATAGTGCCTTTTTTACTTACACTACTAAACCAAATATTCTACCAAAATATAGCTGCAGAGAAAACTTACTTTCTGACAAAAAAATACTGAGAGCAGAAAAACAGGAATACAGTGATCTCAAGAGAGTGAAGCACATGTTATAAAAACTATGGTCAAATGTTATTATGTGGCCAAGTATAAAAATTTATAATATGGTAGAGTTGAGGAACTAGACACTGTCAGAGGTATCTCACTACACCTCACTTCAGTGGGTAAATATAAGCGCCAACCATCCACACCAATCACCTATCTTTCAAGTTATGTGTTCAGGTACATGTAGGCTGTCTATGATCTTCAGTCCATAGGAACTCGAACTGAAAAGCATACAATTATTTTTACCCCTTCGCTAAGATTCTTTTCTCTTGCTTCTATTCTCCTAGTAAAAATAGAGAAATGTGAAGTTTTATGTTTACATAAGCTTTTCCTAAAAAACAGTTTATGTACTCACTTGACCTCCTAAGGGAGCCTTTTCTGAAAACAGGTCTTCACTATGCAGCGGGCTTCCAACAGCTGGGAGACCCCTCAGTGGGAGTAGTGACTAGGTATGAACTTGGGAACTATTTTGGGGAGATATGAAAATGCAGGGAATTTAGGGTCAATCGTTCACTCTTAACTGCTAGAGGAGTGTATCAGAAACATCTGCATTAAGCATTTTTCTGCATTTTAATTATTAGTCCAAGTCCTTGGTTGATAAAAAGTAAATTTGACAATAAGTCAAATGTTTGAATGTAAGACCAAGCATTTTTCTTATCTAAAGAAGCTCTTTGGTCTCTACACTAAGAACAAAATTGCATGTCAAAAGGCCTGATCTTCATTCTCCATTATATATCGGGCTAATTGAGTTCCAGAAAGGGTAAAGCAATTCAGTTATTTCATTTAGGCAGAAATTCTTAACCATTTCTGCTTTGTCCCTGTTCTGGCAGTTAGAAGAAGGGGCACTCCAGGACCTTTAAACCTGCCTGCTCTAAATAAATTCTGCCATCTGTCACATCAAGACAAAATATACCCCAGTGTGTAAGACCTTCAATGGAAAATAACTTTGATATAATTAATTTGCAATAAAGGGAAGAGAAAGAATATAGCTAAAAATTTCCCCATGAAGCACCAAAAATTACCTTCGTGGGTAAATAACCAGCCAAACAAGGTTGGCCCAAAGTGGAGCCACTGAGCCCCAAAAGCTTGCTACAAGTCTAAGGCACCTTCTATTGGGGAAGGGAGAGAAAGGGCCAGGCAAGTCTGGAAAGAAAGGAGCAAATATAAGTCAATACAAATCAAGGAAATGGCTGCCATTGTCAGCCTCTGCACAGGTCTCTCACTCACATCTCTTCTAAATGTCTTCTTCCATGTACCCCAGGTCCCTTGTACAAGTGCAAGGTTGAGAAGCAAGTGCAACTTCTTCACATGTCTCTCTGCTTTGGGTGCCTACTGCAGGTCTTTCCTTTCTGCATCTCTCTCTTCTTAGTCTTCTTCCTCCTCTTCCCAGTCTTTTCTAGCTTCTCTTCCCTACCTAGCTCTACTGTCCTTAGAATGGGCAGGGAAAGTGAAACATCCCCTTTCTCTGAGGATTACACTTTACACGTGGTCCACCTTGTACTTATGCTACTATTATGTGGGATATTATGTGGCCAAAGCCCAGTGAGACTGAGTAATGTCAAGTGGTCACTCAGCTAATCAGCAGGCATGTATCTTAAAATGCTTTCTTGTAAACTTGCATTCCTCCTTCATGGAATGTCTATAGAATATATACTTTATGATCAAATTAGAGAGAAGAAATTAGTTTCTAAAGAAAAATCAAGAAGGAAGAATTGATTAACTTTTGCTTTTAAGCTGATATTATTTATTTAAAAAATTATGGACACTGAAACCACAAAATGCTTTTACTCCAGAGAACAAGCATATCTTAGGAATAATAGTGATTTCCAAAACTCCAGAATTTCTGCTAATTATTCAAGGAAAGTACAAATAGAGAAATGCTATTATTTTTTCCAGTCTTATGAAGTAGATACAGTGCTCTTCAAGGATTACAGATGGGAGTGTGAATATGTTGCCTTAATATTAACCATCATGACAGAATCAGTACACTCCTTCTGTGGAATATTATATAGTCACTAAAAATGAAATAGCTCTACTATATGTGTACTGACATGGAAGTTTACCTATGATAAATTATTTAGAACAACAGTGTGCAGAGCACTATTCAGAGTATGATTTAATTTTTGTAAAAAGTAACAAAATCTTCAAATAAGCATAAGAATCTCGGTAACTACTTCATTAAAAACTAGAACATATTTCAGCTGTTAACCAAGGGTTCCCCAAGGTATTAAGAATAAAGAAGATAGAATGATGGCAAGGGTGAGGGGGCTTACTTTTAATTTTTTTCACATCTGTATTGTCTAGAATTCTTTTCATAAACATTATTATAAAATTTTATGTTAGAACCGTAAGTTAGAATCCTTGTATCAGAAATGAATCTCTGTGTCTAGTGGCTTGAAATCTATTCTCTGCATATGATATCAGCAAATAGTGCAAATGACAAGTGTCCCTTCACTTGGAAGAAACTTCTTTAAAATAACAATATAAATCATCTTTCGTTTGTAAACATGTCACAAATTATAGAAGAGAGGTAAAAATAGAATCCAAGTCTCCTATATGATGGAAATCATTACATCTTATTTGAATGGGCTTATAGTAACAGTGGAAGGGAAATGTGTATACAATTTATAACAATGCTGAAAGTATACAAATATTTTCAGAACAACATGAGAAAGATCTACTGCTGCTGTGTTATGATACTAGCATCCTTGATATTGATGGTCATCTCTACACCTTCCTTATCAAGAACTCCATCTCAATGTAGAGGAGACTAATTTCTACAAAAGTGAATCCATGAAACATATTTGTATTGAAAAATTAATGTGTGCATTGCTCTAGATACAGGGTAGGGGGAGAGACACAAAGATAAACAGGAACCAAGAATTGCCTTGTCTTTCTTATAAACTCATGGGAGAGCTGAGGTGGTCCACAGACTCGAGAATGCAATGTGGAATGCAGTAAGCACACAAGACACTGCAAAGTAAACCAGGACTGTGGGATAGAGTGGCCGGATGGTCCACTCCAAAGGGAAGTGCTTTGTTTTGAGAATAACAAAGATGTAAAATCATGTAAGCAGAAGAAAAGAGTCAGTATGGAGAGGTGATAAATAAGGTGATAATAAGGTGGCCCTGACAGAAACCTGAAGAGAGCCCAGGAGAGAGGTTGGCCATTAGGAGGAAGGATGTTACCCAAACAGCATAAAAGAATAAAGAGAGCATGTGTGGGGAGGCAGAGACACTCCAAGCTGAAGGAAAAGGAAGCTGAAGGAGCCCACTTACAGCAACTTTGACTTGTTCAGTCTGGTGAGAAGCTACCTCATTGACAGAGAGCAAAAGAGAATTGGTGAGTCGGGGAGTTGAAGAAAGATCTGGAATAGCCAGGTGAATAATGTCAGTCAACCAGGAATGAGGAAAAGGACTGTGGAGCATCACTAAGGTCCCAGCTGAGGATGAAGAGCCATGAGATTTTCATGAAAAAGTTTTTTCATTCCTTTATCTAGCAATGTGGCAGTTAGACACAGGAGTAAAGAACTTTAGCTTGGATAGAATGTATGATTTATAGAATAGAATAACTCCTATGTTGAAATCTGCTTGTGAAAATTCATTGGAAATCAGTCAAATAATTGCATCATTTCAGATTTTGCTGTCAATTGTCTTTTTTCCCCTTACGTTTATAGTCAAATCAGCTAACTCTATTTCCATAAAGAAGTGGGAACACTGACCTGCTCTCCCGGTGTTATCCATGCAACACATGCTTTTAGAATTTTTAATGTTTCTAGCTCATAGTTGATTCTCATCCATTATGTACTTTTAGGCTGGAAGAACTAATAACAACCTTTTTGGAAGACCAGGATCCAGAGAGTAGATTAGAGGTTGGAGCTGATATGCGAAAAATTCATCACTGTTTCCATTATTTAAAGGTAAATTTAAGCATATCCTCTCATTTTAGCCATTGTCACCCCTGTTCAAACTGCAATAAACCTGCGATAAACAACTCTTGAAAGGTTAGGACCCAGTGTCCCCCATCCAGAAGGGTGAGATCTTCAACTAATGCCACAATTACCACTACATTTCTTCAGAGACTGACCTTACTTCCCAATGAATAAGGTCAGACCCTGAATTTCTAATTCTTTCGCCAGAAATCTCTACCTTCTACACAGAATAGTCCCATATTCAAAACACTTTATTTTCAAGTTACATCAAAAGATTTATGTCATTTCTTTTTTTCCAGCAGTTTTGGGTTATCCCTATATTTCCTTAGTTTTTCCCTGCCTTAAGTTTTACTATTCATGAATGACACAGTAGAAATATCTTTACCCATTACTTCTACCTCACCTGTAACCTGACAGACTGCACCACGATAATGAACATTTGTTGGGAGTCTGCTATGGGTCAAGCATTGGTTAGGCAAAGATAAATAAGTCATGGAGAAGGCAGATTTGTAAAGATTAATTATAAAGCATTGTTAGCATTAATTTGGAAAATGTGTTGTCCCAACCCGAAGGATTCGGAGGCATGAAAAGAGAAGGGCTGAGAATTGAAATGCGGGGCTTGACAACTTGACGCTAGCGTTTGCTTCTTTATTTTCCTTTTCCTTCTCTTTTACTTTTCCCTGTCTTTCTACCTTCCCTGACCTTCGCTCTGCTCCTCTCGCAGCGCTCTCCTCTCTCGTAGTTCTCCTCTTAAATCTCTTTTCTTATTCCCCTCTCTCTCCCGCGTTCTCCTCTTATACCCTCGTAGCTCCTCCCCCCGTACCTCCCAGTCTCATGTGCTTTACAGGAAAAACCTGTGGTTCTCCGAAGGCCAAAGGGTAAAGCGAACTCATGGCACGCATATGCAACACGGCACATACTCCGGACGGCTCCCGACAATGTGTGAAATAAGTTGTGTGGGATTATGGAGAAAGGGAAAGAATTCTAACAGAAGAGCATATTTGAGCAGGAATTTCCCCACCTTAGGGAAGGAGAGATCATAGAATGGAGGAGGTGGTGGAAGTACAGGTGGGATGGGAAGACACACCAAAGACAACTGCATTGCAAAGACCTGGAGGCAGAACAGTGCGTGCAGATCTGACTTGTGTAGGAACGGTGAAAGTGGATAGAGTCACACACAGAAATTTGGAAGAGAGATACAGACATTAAGCTCTGATTTTGTCTTTTAGAAGCTACTGAATGACAAGAAGATCCACGTAAAGAGCCCAGTCTGCTCTGAAATCAAAACTCAAAACTGCCAAGAACCATTAAAAGAGGAAGAATATAAAAAGCTACGAGATATTCTACAGCAGAGAGATAACGAAATCAGTATCCTTTCTGAAATGATGAGAAACTCTCCCTCTTCTGGCTTGAGCCTGCGTGTGGGATCCCTCTCCTAGCCACCGACCCTGGCTCCCCACCCTGCTTCCGGTGCTCCTTACTTCTTTCCATTTAGGAGAAAAATGTCCCTGCAGCAAACACAAAGTGGTGAAAAACAAAGTTGCTATAAAAGAAAAATGTCCTTCTTTTTTAGTCAAGTAGAGTTATGTTGTGGCAGAATATTGCAGTTGATTGAAAAATATGGCCGTTTTTTACATCATATCTTAACAAATTAAATGATATGTGTGTATGTGCCTGCACACACACACACACACACACACACTTTTTGTTTCCACTACTTTGCAGTGCTCTTTCTGTTTGAGTCCTGAGCCTGAAAGTTAGCTGGTTATCTTTAGCTAACTGACCGGACATTGGGCTGACCGCAGTCTCACCGCGGCCCAGAATTTGTGGCTGGTGTGTGGGTGAAACTCAGAAGATGATTGAAAAAAAATTTTTTGTTAAAGATGAGTGGTATTTAGCTTATGAAGAGCAGAGATTGATTTAAATTTAACTTTTTATTTAAAAGCCAGATCTACCGCTTTGGGTTCTTCTTACAAATGTTCCCAAATTTGGAAGCGAGTACATATGATACAATTTTTACCAGCTTTGGAGACAGTGTGTTCTGGGTACCCACAGAGGCAGGAGCTCTGGGAGCTGCCTCCAGTTACAGACAAGGTGGTGGCTTCTAAAGAGTCTCTATTGGGTGTGTTAGACCTCAATAATTCTTATAAAAGAAGTGACTTTTTCGTTACATTCTCAGACTTTAACGATGCACAAAAATTATTTTGGTCAGTTCCTTATGAACATGTTTTTGCTCATGTTTTAAAATCACTAAAAGGCATGTTTGTTTCAGCTAATGTGCAAAATGCATAAAAAATAACTTACGTGAAGGAAAACGGGTAATGAAGAGGTAAAAACAAACCAAAGATGAGGCAGGCACACTGCCTGATTAACTTCAGTCTCTAATTTTAGTTGAGAATTAACAGACCCTCTATGTCTGATTCAAGTGAGTTTTAACTGCTTTATTATTCAGCCAGTAACAGTAGATTCAGCTGTGATTTATACTCCCTTTGACAAAGGCCCTTGTCTCTGGTGCAGCACACAGGCCTGTCACTCCTGCATTCCTGCTCCTCTCTCTTACCCAATTCATCTCCAGGGATGGTCCCAGCTTAGACCTCAGTCCTGGCCCCAACCCCAGGCTGATTTCTGCTTCTTTTCCTGGCCTTGCTCCTAGTTTAGAATCTTCTCCCTTAAACACTCCTACCAACTTCTTAATCCCCTTCTGGGTTTATGTATGTCTGTGCATAGTAGAGAAGGAATGAAATGAGATATGACAGAGAAGGAACAGTCTAGGCCTGTTCCTACATGTTTATTTTAAAAAGAGTGAGAGAGATAAATACATCATCCCCCTTCTTCATTGGTAAATGCAGGTATCACTGTTCCCGTGGGGCTACGTGAGATTCTTCACTGACTGTGAATAACTCAAGTGAAGTACCCTTCTTCTGAGACTAGTATTCAAAATGATGGTGTGTAGGAGACATGGTGAAGAGAGCACTGAATTTGAAGTTCACACCTGGGCTGAAATCCCAACTCTTCATTCATTAGCTCTACAACTGCTCCCTGAAGCAGCTTCCTGCTCATCAGCAGACAGAGCCTAGGACCTGCCCTGCCTACTTCACAGGGCCAAGCAAAGCCAGAGAGGCTATTCATGGGCAAGTGCTTTGAGCTCCATGGAGTGTTATAAAATGGAAGATATGACTCTGTAGTTAATGGGTAAACTGAGAAGGAGGAAAAATAGCAGCTCAGATTCACTCCTAACAGCTTACATGTATTATAGGCTAATCACCAAGAGAAGATCCTGAAATTTCATAGTTCCTCACAGTTCTTTTTTGTAGAACCCAGAAGGTTAAGTCTGAGACAGGAGCAATGAGAAAGATATGGGTTAGATTAAAAAAAAAAAAAAAAAAAAAAAAGATAATGCTTGAACTCAACAAAAACTTGAACGTAATGCAACAGAATGACAATAAATGACATCGATTTTTTTTTTTTTTGGAAAGGGAGGAGAAAAGGTGTCATTTCAATGACATTATCAGTTTGAATAAGTTCAGGCACCTCTTCACAAAGCATATAATGGTAGCAGTTAGTACCCAACACAGCGCTTGACTTGAGCAGGAGCCCAGGTTACATGAGAAAGGGAAGAAGACAAAGAAAGGCAGATGAAAACGAAGGCAGCAAAGATGATTTTGTATTGTGAGCTTTGTGAAATGTAAATCAGAACACATCATTTCTCTGATTTAAATCTTCCAGGGCTTCCTATTAGAATAAAATTCAAACTCCTTACTCTAGACTATGAGGCCCCAGGTTGTCTTGCCCGGCCCCCTACCCTTGTATGTCTTAGCCTTCTGTCCTTTGTATGTTAAACTTCAGTCACAGTGACCTCTTTGCTATTCTTCTAACACAGGGATTCTCAACCTCAGCATTGCTGACATTTTGAGGCTGTATAATTCTTTATTGCCAGAGCTGTCCTATGCATAGTAGGATGTTTAGCAGCAAGTCCTGCCTCTACCCACTGGATTTCATAACAGCAACTACCTCTCTCCCCACCCCCACCCCAGTACGACAACCAAAAATGTCTCCAGACATGACCCAATATCCCCTGAATGGTATATATTCCCTGTTTGGGACCCTTAGGGGCTTAGCACTAGCCATTTTTTCTGCTGGGATGTTCTTCCTCTAGCTGGTTCTTGTCATTCAGATCTCAGCTTCAGTGTCATACTCAAGAAGACCGTCCTTAAGCACTCAGTGTAGAGTAGCCACTCAATCACTCTTGACTTTTTAAAAATAAGTTATCTGGCACTTTCTAATATTATATATGCACATGTGCATGAGAACTATCTTTCTCAGTAGGACATCTGCTTCATGCGAGCAAGAGACTAGTCTACCTTTTCATTGTGCCATCCCTGTGCCTACAACAGTGCCTGGCAATAGCACCAATAAATACCATGGATCATGAATATTGCTACCACAGTGTTTAAACCAGATAGACTGTATGATGCTATTGATAATTCCATGCAAAGAAGAGTGGGAGGTCTTGAAAGATAGGCTTGTCTCCATCAGCTCAGTGCCTCGACACTTACAGAAGCTGTGAACACATTTGGTAAGGAGAAGTTTATTTAGAACAAAGTGGACACCATATCAGGAATTGTGCATTAAAAAACTGATTATGCTTCTAGAAATCACCAGAAGGTTAGAAGCAAAGCTGAAGAAGAAGATGGAGTTGGAATGATTTCTGTGTTACTTGCTCAACATTAAATGTGGCTGACACCTCCCCTCCCTCTGAGTTGCTGTCTTCTCACCCATACCATCCTCATGTTGCTCAGAGGCCTATCTTAATGCAGCTAGCTTTAGCAGTGGGAAAGGCCTTGAATTCCTCTTACCGTGTGTGCAGTAAATTTCTGAGATTTTCAAGAGGGAGTATCAACTTTCCTCTTAGTGATGATACTATTAGAGTTCTAAGCATCTCGAACCTGAGTGAGCAGTGAAGTAGGGTAGAGGGATGCTCTCAGTTATCATTGGTGCTCCTAGTATAGTAACTGACTTTAAGTTCCATTTGAATGTGCTGTAAATAAGTATGTGTTGGCCATGGGGCATACATTGACCACCAGGACTGATTTGGTGGTCTTCCAACTCGGCAGGCTTCAGAATCCTCTCTCTCCAACTCCTGAGCAGCTTCCTGAATGAAGGTCTTATCTACCCACAGGTGTATGCAAAACTCCATTGCCTACTACTTGGTATTTGTTTACTTTTTATAAGCTCTTTCATAGAAAGTTTAAGGTGTAACTGGTTTAAACTCAGAATATTTTGTTGTTCTTTTTTTTTTGTTTGATTTGGTTTGGTTTTTGCATAGAAGAACTTGGGTGTAGGCCAGAGATACAGGTGGTGAGCAGATTCACCAGAGACAGAGTGGGGAGCAGAACAGGCAGATTTACTGAAAGACACTGCTAAGAGGAGCAATGGGAAGACAGGAGAGGTCTGCTGCTCCGTATGTGGGTTAGCTCCTTGGCCAGGGATCGAACTCAGGCCATAGCGGTGATAGTGCTGATTCTTAATCCTTAGGTCACCTGGGAAGTCCTTAAACTCAGAATATTTTAAAGGCCTTTAGATTTGCTAATTTTTCATATAAGATGCCATATTTAAAAACTAATAGCTTCCTGAACTTCTGGAAGTTGAAGTCTCCCTTTAGTCAGTCACAAATATCAAGTCATATTCAAATTATTCTCATTTGAAACATCACTGTTCTGTTCATTATCATTGAGCATGAGTCACTAAATCCTTAAGTCAAGTTTCAGATATTCTGGTCAATATGTTAAAGAAGGAAAAGAAGAAAACTCAGGATGCACTCCACTTATCTAGTATGGACAGAAGTGAATGTAGACATTCACAGAGCTCACCTTTCCCACCTGGGAACCCAGAAGGTCCGAGAATTTTGCTTCCATCACCTCCCACACAATCCCAGGATGGCCCCTTCGCATACAGATCCAGTCTACTCAACAGAAAAACAGGTCAGTTGACTAAGTTTCTAGTATTTCTCATAATGAATTTCAACATAGCATCCTTTAGTTTTAAATATGCACATATGAAGGCTCCAACAATTTATTTGGTAGAATTATCTCTTATACATTATCAAATCTTTCAGTGAAATAATCATTTCCAGAATTGATGACTGAACTGAAAATAGAAAGTATGAATTGTCAGTATTCATAGAATACTGACAGAATGAGATGGGCAGAATGAGATGGGTCTAGAGCAATGGCTGAAAAGTTGACTTTGGAGTAAAAGAATAAGAACCTCCCTCTTGTTACAGGAAGGGAAGAATAAAGACAGATGTTGCATTACTGATGTGATGACACTCATTTCTAAATAGAAATGAGCTATCTGTAGCAAAATAATTTCAAAGTATTGTCACAGTCTGCCTTAAAGGACAAAAACTATGCAAAACTTTGTAAGATAATAGGCTTTAACATGGTTAGACCAACTCAGCGGTACCTTCTTGGTCTGTAGCTTTTCCTCACTGAAACTGCAGCTCCACAGTGGGAGCCCAGGTGCATTGGTGTTGGGCTATTAGACCGTCAGAGCCCAGTGTACAGTCAGGATGCAGTGACTGATACCTTTACCTTGAAGACACTGAGTAATATAATGTGTGGAATGTGCTAGAACAAAGGGGTGAAGAGCTTCCTTTACTGTCAACATAGGTTGAAATTGTATAAATATTTATTGGAATGGACAATCTGACACGCACGATTTTCTAAAAAAATTTACTTGGGAACAATTAAAAGAGTATGAAGCGCATTAAAAAGGACACCTTTTGGTTAATAAACACAGGACTGAGAAGCATGGAAATATGTTTTGTGCTATTATATCCCTTTAGCTCTTTTTTTTTTTTTTTTTTTTTTTTTTTTTTTTTTTTTTTTTTCAGATAGTGATTTTTATTTTTTTTTTTTAAATATTAAATTTTATTTTTATATTCCCCCATACAATTGCAAACGCCCCATTCTGACCCCAATCCTTTCCCTCCCGCCCCCCAGCCCCCAAAAAGTGTCTCTGGTTCATAGTTTTTTGTTGATTTTGATTTTCACTTTCTTATATTCATTTTCCTGGTCCCTTATTTAAGTTTTCTAGATTCCTGCTATGAGTGAGACCATCCGGTATTTTTCTTTTTCTTTTTGGCTTATTTCGCTGAGCATGATCCCTTCCAGTGCCATCCATGTTGCTGCAAATTGCATGTGTTTATCTTTTTTGAATGCTGAGTAATATTCCATGGTATATATGTACCACATCTTCTTGATCCAGTCATCTATTTTTGGGCATTTGGGCTGTTAATTCCAAATCTCCTTGCTTTGAATATTTCTTTAGCAATACAGTAGGCTAAATTCAAAATCCCAGGAAACCCAAAATGCTATTTTTACCATTTATCATGGTGACAGCAGGCAAGGAAAAGCAATTATTTCTCTCTGTGATTATTTTACATACAGCATTTCTATAAGCTGCTCTGATAACAGCTGGTTTTGGGGAGAGAGCAAGAGGCCCTCAGGGATGTTCAATTCATTAGTTCATCCATCAGTTTATTCATTGCTTTACATTCATCCTCTACATATATCCAATAAGTGATCCTTTAACATATATTTGCTGAGTATGCCCTTTGTTTTAGATACTTTGATTCTTCTTGTTATTACAATTATTATTACTATTGCTAAAGCTTACAAAGACCTCATATATGCCAGGTACTATTCAAAGTTCTTTGCTTGAATTAACTCATCAAATCTTTATCCTCAAGTACTTGTTTTACCACCATATTACAAATGGTGATATACATGGACAAACACAGCCTCTGACCTCAGAGCGTTTAGAGACTGACAGAGAAGAGAATCTTGAACAATTAATGACAAAAGCTCACCTCTGTACGGCTGAGGGAGAACATACCAGGGAACCTTAGCTCAAGAAAGACCCAAAGAAGACCATGAAGATGGAAGTGGGCATAGAAGGAATATTGCAAGCAGAAGGAATTATTTGAACAACTTTCAAGGCTTTGTGGTGGAAAGGAATATTTTAGGATATGAAAAAGACGGTATGGTTGGATTCTGGGAAGTGGGAAGCTAGGACAGGTTGAGGAATATGTGGAGGCCAGATTGGTAGAGGACACAAAGATTGTGTGACCAGTAAGAAGGCCACTGTGGCATAGCGGTCCAAGCCAAAGGGTGGCGATGATGTCAGAGAAGAGGGAGGATCAGAAATATTTAGGAGATAGAGTGACCAGGGCTTGTTGACTAAATGATGTGAGGATAAAGGTAAGGATTGGCTTCCAGGTCTTTGGGCGGTTAGTGAGGCTTTTCATAGAGGCAAGGAAAAGGGCCTCCCCTAGCCCTGCAACACTTGGCGTTGTTGACTATACAGAACACAGTACTGGTATCACTGTTAAAATGAAAGGTCACTCTTGGTTCCCAAGTTTAACCCCTATGCCCATGAGAGAGGGAACTCTGCTTGCCGGCCCACTGTATGCCTGCACAAACAGCCTTGACCTCAATACTCAAGCCCCTGCCATGTGCTGGAACTTTTATACTTATATTTTCTCTTGCCCATACCATCTTCCTTTTCATAACTCTTCTTCCCCACAGCACCTCATAACTTCTCCTCATAGTCAACTTTTTTAGTAACTCATTTCTTCCCTTGTTATTGAATCAGAATAGTTTAGCTTGGAAAATGAATTAAGTTTACTTTAATAGAAAATCACTGGAAAAATAATGGAAATTGTTTGTAAAGTCCAAGTACAAATGAGGTAAAAGAGTTTTGGAGAAAAGCCTTATAGTTGAAAGGGTTTTTGAGTTGTTTTAACTGACATTGGATATAGTTCTAGCAATAACTTTAAATAGGAGTAGGCTCACAAATGAATTGATAATGATCTAACCATTTGGAGGAGAGATTGATGGGGGATTGATTTTATTCTTTGGCAAAACTACAGATAAGATGAAAATTGCTACGGATGAATCAATGCTTCAAAGCAACAGGTAATGGGATAGTTTATTACAATGTTTAAGATTGTAGGAGCTGATTAGGCTTTTATTATTGCATTATTTTATATAGAAGAGGTTTGTGTAAGCTAAATCAAATACAAAAAAATTAATAAGCATGTTGTTTTGAAAGTATTTGTACCTTAGGTATGTGTTATCAATCTCTACTAACCACCCCTGGGGCCATATTTAATGCAGAAAGAAAGTAAATCAGACTATCTTCTACTCTGAGACTGTTGTGAAACTGTCTCCCCTTCGATGACCCCCCTTCTTCTTCCATTCACCCCCCCCCTTTATGCTGAAAATGACTTCTTTCAAATTTCTTGTGTTAAAAGAAAATGAAACAAAATTCATGGTTCACTAGGGAGCCCAGCACGGTCTTGCTCAAGCAGTCTGGCAAGGTGGAGGAAGGCAAGGGGCTGAGGGACTTTTGTTGTTTTGGAGGCTATATGTCTGTTTTGGTTTCGTTGAAATAGAGAGGGATTGTTCAGTTCCACAGTGTGCAGAGTCATAATTTTCTATTTAAAATAATAGGAGTTTTATAGTTTGGTTTTTTGCTTTTTTGTGTTTGTTTTCTTTTTTAGTTCTCTGTGCATTCCAAATGATAACCTAGAAACTTTTGGTATTCCCAAGTCCCCTGATAACTCACCAAATCCTTTTACTGTTTGAGATGCTAACATAACCCACTCATCTCAGATGCTGTCATTGGCATAATAACTGATGCCAAGGTGAGTGGAAAGTCCACAGCTTTCCATGGAGGCTTGAAGCTCCTTCCTCTTACTCGAGTTTGTTGACTCCCCACTATATGAGCGGAAGGGCCCAAGGCATGTGTTCTGGGGATACCAAAAGGAACTAAGAAATGATCTCTGACACTGGGAACTTATATTGAAATGGTGAAGGCTCACTTGGCACACAAAAAACAGAAAATAAAATAATAAGTGCTATTAGCAGAAGCTAGATGAAAGGATATGGGAATTCAAACAGGAAGGAAAAAATTTCAATAAGTAGTGAAGAAAAAGAAAACAGAACAAAAACAAACACTTGAAATCTGACTACAGAACTCAGGTTACTGGAAGGGGAGAGTGGGAGAGTGGGAGCAAGGGGTAGGGGGCCTCAGTGGACTATGGTGGAGTATTATTGGTGCTTTGGTGGTGAGTGCTGTCTGAGAATACTTATTTGTGGAGATATGAATGTGTGTATCTAAAACATATACAGTGTTGCAAATCAATACTATCTCAATAAACATAATTTAAAATAACAAATCACAAAGAAAAAGTATTAGGTGGCCAGAGAAAGCATTATAGGATTGGTGAAATCTGGACATTCAAAAATGGATGAAAGAGCATTCTGTAACGTTCCAGGTTTAAAGAATAATATGAAACAACCTAAGTGTCCTCTGATGGATGAATGACTAATACGTTTGTGATATATGTATATGTGTATATAATACACACACACATACACACATGCACACGCATACATATATACAATGGTTTCTAGTTAACAATTTAAAAAATGAATGAAATGTTGTCATTTGTATCAACATGAATGAATCTTGAAGTAGTCTTGAAAGAAGTCAATCAGAGAAAGAAAAATACAAGTGATCCCACTTCATGTGAAATCTAAAAACATAAACAGTAACAATAAGAAAAGTCCATAAAGACAATAGAATGGGTGGTTGTCAGAGTTATCTTGGGGTGGGTATAATGGATTAAGGATATAATCAAAGGTCAAAGGTATAAACTTCAGTTATAAAGTGAATTAAGTCATGGCTGATAACACTATATTTGAACGTTGCTAAGAGACTAAAACTCTTAAAACTCCTCATCACAGGAAAGTCATTATAACTATATATGGGAATAAGTATGAAATAGACTTACTGTGATTATTTCTCAATATATACAAATATCAAATGAACATGTTATATACCTGTTATATATAATGTTATATATAATGTTACATTCAATTATATCTCATTTTTAAAAAATGGGAAAATA